AGACGGAGTAGGTGGGAATAGAATGGCGATTCATGTGATCCGGGAGTGTTGGGTTTCACAGTGAAAATCTTTCAGTAAGAGAAGGGGATTATGGGAAATGACGGGGGGATCCCGCCATCCGCACACGGTAGCAGGGATGTGTGTGATCGCCGGGTCATACGAGGTGATCACAGACAGGAAATCCTAATGAGGACACATGGAGACGAGACCTGAACGCAACCGACGCCGGTCCCTGAAAGAGGTCCACCGGGCTTATCTCATGTCCCCACAGGGGATTGACTGAGAAGATTATATAATTCTGACATATACCAGAGCGCTGTACAGACAACACTGAGCCAGCTTACACTCTAATGTCCCCTCCACCACAGTCACATCAGTCTCTGTACAGAGGAGCTGACACTCTAATGTACTAAATGTAAGCTCCTTCTAATGTAAGCTCCTCTGTACAGAGACTGATGTAACTGTGGGGGAGAGGACATTAGAGTGTAAGCTCCTCTGTATAGAGACTGATGTGACTGTGGGGGGAGGGGACATTAGAGTGTAAGCTCCTCTGTATAGAGACTGATGTGACTGTGGGGGGAGGGGACATTAGAGTGTAAGCTCCTCTGTATAGAGACTGATGTGACTGTGGGGGGAGGGGACATTAGAGTGTAAGCTCCTCTGTATAGAGACTGATGTGACTGTGGGGGGAGGGGACATTAGAGTGTAAGCTCCTCTGTATAGAGACTGATGTGACTGTGGGGGGAGGGGACATTAGAGTGTAAGCTCCTCTGTATAGAGACTGATGTGACTGTGGGGGGAGGGGACATTAGAGTGTAAGCTCCTCTGTATAGAGACTGATGTGACTGTGGGGGGAGGGGACATTAGAGTGTAAGCTCCTCTGTATAGAGACTGATGTGACTGTGGGGGGAGGGGACATTAGAGTGTAAGCTCCTCTGTATAGAGACTGATGTGACTGTGGGGGGAGGGGACATTAGAGTGTAAGCTCCTCTGTATAGAGACTGATGTGACTGTGGGGGGAGGGGACATTAGAGTGTAAGCTCCTCTGTATAGAGACTGATGTGACTGTGGGGGGAGGGGACATTAGAGTGTAAGCTCCTCTGTACAGAGACTGATGTGACTGGCTCAGTGTTCTCTGTACAGCGCTGTGGTATATGTCAGAGCTATATACATGTATAATATGAGTTGCAGGTAAGCCGTGTGAAAGGGTTAAGTCAGCCCTCCGCCTCCAGGCTGTTTGACTGCCGGCTCCAGCCTCCCTCCCCCCCCCCCCCCACATTGCG